AAAGAAAAAGAAATTAAGGTGAAACTTCTGTTAAAGAAATATCATAGAAAATGAGTTGGAGGAAGACAGAACTGGCAGATGAAAACTCCAATTTATGGAATTTAGGACTGAAAACCAGTGCTATAGGCTAACTCTAAATCTAATCTGAGTGTGATGTAGCTCGCTTGTAATCGCAGCAACTCAGGGAGACTGATTCAGGGAGGCCACATGTTTGAAGCCAGCCTAGGCAACTTAGCACTTTAGCAAGACCTTATCTCAAAATAACAAATAAAAAAAGGCTGGGGATGTACCTCAATGCAAAGGCCTCGGGTTCAGTCTCCAGTATAGAGAAAAAAATCTAACTGAATCGAATTTAGGCCTTGATCTTATCTCTTTACATTTTTTTGTGTGTTTTCTAGACAAGGTCTGGCTATACAGCTCAGGCTGGCCTTGAGCTCACTTTGTAGCTTAGGCTGTTCTCGAACTTGCAACGATCTTTCTGCCTCAGCCTCCCGAGTGGTGGGATTACAGGCACTTGTTATTTATATATACAAATATATATATTTACATGTGTATGTGTGTAACATATCAGTGTGTCAAAGACTGCCTTTTCCTAAGAAGAAAAATGACACAGACTTAGCACAGAAAATGTTTAAACTGCAATATAAATTGAAATCATTCACAACCCCAATATCCAGAGGCACAAACACAGTGAACATTTCAGTATAGTTTCTCTCTTCCTCACTTGTGCTTCAATTAACTAGAATGTTGGGGTGTTAGGTATTTTAGAGACTGACCATAGAAAAGATTTCAGCATAGTTTATCACAGAGACTTAAACATGGTTTTCCAGAAAGATGTCAACAAATTCAGGATCGAATTCTGAGACTCTGCAGTCTAGAGGAAAACGTGGCCAGGAAAGTAGTGAAGGACTTTCATTTTGTAGGTTAAGGATTCTGGATGCAGGCTTCAGTCCCTGTTTCCAGGCACCAGAATAAAGGGCAAAGAAGATCTAGAACCTGAACTAGAGATCAAAACTTCAACCACTGTGATTCCACAGCCTTGCAGATTAAGAAGGCAAATAAATAAATTAGCAAGTGGTTTTAGAACCAAGTGTTCAGACAGTGAAATCTGCAAACTTCAAACTTCAAAACAAAAAAATGTACAGGGGTGGAGGAGTTTACATTAGAACAGATTGAAGAGGTATGGCCTTAAGATTAATTGATAGGAGGCTGGGGATTTAGCTCAGTGGCAAAAGCGCCTGCCTGGCAAGCGCAAGGTCGTGAGTTCGGTTCCCAGTACCGGAGAAAAACAAAAAAAACAACAACAAAAAGATTAATTGATAGGAACATTAAAATCAGACATGAAAAAGTGAGGGGAAATATTGCATCTTTATGACAGAAATTTTTCAAAGCATTTCAAGGAAAGCGATTTTTTTCTAAATCCGTGATCTTCACAGCTCTTGTCTACAGGCGCACTGATGACAAGTGCGCATGCGCACGCGCGAGTCCTGGGGAAGCTACCTTTGAAAATGCTTTTGTGAGCCCAGTCACTCCGGGTCTTCTCCCTTCACAAATCACTCACTCTAAAAAGTAAAATATTTGAAGATTTAGCCCTCTTTTCTATTGATACATTTACAGCTGTGGGCTATCTTCCTCTGTAAAATCCCACAGAGAAAATTAAAAACTAAACATTTCTTCAATTTTACGGAGTGAGAAACATTCCAGTCCCTTTTCATTTAGTGCTGACAAAGTATTTCATTTCTTCCATAAACTGGAAATGCATGATGTTTGTATGTGAAGAACCTCTCCTATATATATGTATATATGGAATTACAACACTATTACTTTCTATTTCTACTTCAAAACCCGAGGATTTTACTTTGCAGTGAATGGATGGATAGATACATAGATGAGTAGATAGATAGATAGATAGATAGATAGATAGATAGATAGATAGATAGATAGATGACAGATAGATGTTAACTAATACAGATATTTAATGTTTTTTAAAAGTAATAAGAGCAGTCAGTTTTTCAAATTCCCCAGAGAACTTAATTTTTAAAACTTCAATTCAGACATCTGGTATTCAAAATGATAATATATCATGTATTAAACTGTAATCATTTTCATCTGATACTTAAAGAAATTTGGAAAATCCTGAAAACTAGGTAATATCCCCCTCCAAAATAGCCTCTGTTAACAATTTATTATATTTTATTTTAACATTTATGTCTACGTATTATGTCATAGTTATGAAAAGTGGGCCCAACCTGCATTCTGCTTTTCTGATCTAACACTATAAACAATATGTTTGATGTTATTATACAGGTATTTTAAAACATTAATTGAATGAGCTACAAAACACCCATTTTCATTGCTTCTGTTACTACTTCAGTGCATGTAAATCTTTCTATTTTTTCTCAATATTGGCAAATTTGATCCCAGAAATAATGCACCTGTCTGCAACCCAATTGCAATATATCAGTTTCTCTTCAGTATGTACTCACCTACATTAGGTATTATCTTCCATTTAATTTCCTTGAGTATAGTAAATAGCATTTTGCTGTCATTTAAAGTTTAGATTATAGGTGAAGTTGAACACTTCAAATACTTTTAATTAATACTAATCCTCTTTTGCCAACTTTTGTTTCATCTCTTTTGTTCCCATTAATTCATTTATTTTAATGATTAAAAAACCATCCTTAAAAGAAACATAAAGCAACAGTGATTCCCAGTCTGTAAATATCCTACTTTCGAATACCTTCTTTATTTGGATAGCTCTTTGGCATAGATAAGGTAATGCCAGCTACCAGCTGGAAAAATTGAGAGCAACTCATCCTGAAAAAGTAAAAGCCTTGGGTTTTAGAATGTATAGAAATTAATGATGTTAATAATTCCTTCTTCAAAGGTGCAGAAACTGCCAATTGCCCTCTTAAAGTGTGTCTTACTAGATAATGAATGAGAAAAAACTCTAAGAAAGTGGGTATCTTTCAAAAAGTTAATATAGCACATTCGCAAGATATGCTTCCAGGAAAATGACTAAATGAATTATGGATTCCTGTGTACAGAATTCCTATCTGACCAGTGATGATTACTTAAGCAGGAACAAACAAATTAGGTCAGATGAACATAAGAGGAAGTAAAGGTGCCTAAGAATCAGAAAAGAGAACTGTCAATAATTCCATAAAATGTCTATTTCAAAAGAAGAAACGTATGACTGTGGGGCAAATAAATTCAGAGTACAAGAAAATGCAGTAAGTCCCTGAAGAAAGTGCTATTTTGTGTTTGAGCAGGGATGCATGAAAATAGCATATAAAAGATAGACATGATTAGGTTCGATTCTATGATTTTTATTAGCTGAAGTAATCTAACAGGGAACACTGTCATAAGTAAGGACATGGACAAAGAAAGCTATCCTTTAA